ATTAGTCACTGTGTGGTGTAGTGGTTAAGTGCTACGGCTGCTGACCAAAAGGTCAGCAGTTCGAATCCCCCAGGCACCCCTAGAAAACTGTATAGGGCAGTTCTATTCTGTCCTATAGAGTCACTGAGTCGGAATCGACTTGACGGCAACAGGGTTTTTGTTTTTTTGGGTAACTGAAAGAACTCGGACAGGTCATTTAATTTCTCTGAGCCTCAGTTTTTTCATCTGTAGAAAGGGAATATTGTCTGTCTCTTATGGTTTTATAAGAATTAAATGAAATAATAAATATGTAGCAGTATTATCTAATAATAATGAAGATCTAGTACTACTTACTGTCACATAGTAGGTCTTAGGGTTTTGTAATATAAATGCAAATAAAATAAGTATGTAACAATGTATTTATATTATCTGATAGTAATAAAAGGAGCCTTTGTGGCACAGTGGTTTAATCACTTGGCTGCTAATTGCAAGGTCGGCGGTTTGAACCCACCAGCTGCTCCGCAGGAGAAAGATATGGCCGTCTGCTTCCACAAAGATTATAGCCTTAGAAACTCTATGGGGCAGTTCTACCCTGTCCAACAGGGTCACTATGAGTCAAAATCGACATGATGGCAATGAGTTTGGTTTTTTGGGTTAATAATAAAGCATATAGTACTAGCAACCCTGTCACATAGTAGGTGCTCACTAAATATTAACTCTCTGTATTCTTCCCTGTCATCTTTTATTTTTCTTATGTTCCTGAACACCTAGTTCTTATCTGTGTATGAATATAACGTAGCTTAGTGTTTGCTAGTCCTGTCTCCTATTAGGTTGTAAATTATTAGAGATTAGGACTCTATTTTTTCTTTCCTTTATAGTTGCAAAACTTCACATAGTAGGCATTCAGAACATATTGTTGCCCTCCTCTTGCATGACCAAGCCGTAACTCCTGTTCCTTGTAAGTAATTATTAGTATCCCTTAAGATTCTTCATCTTGAATCTACCTGTTTGAATTTTTTCAGTGTAGTAGGGTTTATGAACATAATCCTGCTTTTGGAATAACCAAACTTATATTTTAGTAACTATACTCTGTACCCATCATCTAGCTACAGTCATTGCCAACATGTAATATTCTTATCTGTAGACTTTCATTTATCATCAGGATCTAATTCTGTTTACAAAAACTACCTGTAAACATGTATTACTTGTACATATTTGCCTAGATCATACCTTCACCCACCTTCTTGCACTTAGTGAATATCATGTATGTAATACTCTACTCCTTAACAACTTCAATTCTAAAATAATTTTTTTCACACTTTAACACCTCTATAAATAGGATATGTCTTACAATTTATGATATTTTAAAACACATCAAATAATGGGGATATATATATACACACTAAGTGGCATTTTAGATTTGATGAAATATGGTAGATATTTAGAAAAGCTTGATACCAGGAATTGGAGGCATACTTGGTGCTACAGTGCCCATCAGCAACAGTGCCCATCAGCGACCAAAGTGTATGGTACTCCTGTAACTTAAGAAACCAGTTCATACCCATTTAGTTATCCTCCTTTTTACAGGGTATAGATTTTCAAAATATTCATCCATCCTCGAGGTATGCCATTCTTTCTTCCTTTTCTTGCCTTTCCCCATCTGTCTTCTAGCTATCAGTAAGACCATTTTCACCTACCTCAGTGTTTTCGTAACTACATAGATACAGGATTTTTCTGAGAATTGTGTTTAATGGGTTAATATCATCCAGGCTGTGGAATTTGCTCTGACCTGAATGTGATGGTTCATTAATGAATTAAAAAAAAAAACCATGGCTGTCGAGTCGAGTCTGACTCATAGCACCCTATAGGACAGAGTAGAACTACCTCATAGGGTTTTCAGAGAGTGGCTGGTACATTTGAACTTCTGACCTTTTGGTTAGCAGCCAGTCTCTTAACCATTGTGCCACCAGGGCTCTGCATTAATGAATCAGTCCCTCCTAAATGAAGAGGTTTCCCCTGCTCCTTCTGGGACCTGGTTCCAGTTTCAGTTACATCTTAAGAAGCTAATGATCCCTGTAAGAATACTAACCTCTTTAAAACCAAATGGGTATGATGTAACCTAATGAAAAAGAGCATGTACGTTAGAGTCAAACAGTCCTGTATTTGAATCTTGGCTCTACCATTTACATGCTCCATTGTGACATTTACTAAATTCTCTTCTCGAAATTCCTACTACTCTTGCTATTACTGATACCACCGATACCACAGTTACTGCTGTGAGCTGCTCTGAAAGACTCTGTGGAATCTAACCTGCCATAATTTATCTAATGTTCCCATCCAACCAAAATGGCACAGCTTATATGAACCCTAGTCCCTTAGAGAAGAGTAAGATGAAAGTATAAAGATCATAAAAATAATATGTCCATTTACCCTTTTATTTAACATTACAAACCCTCTTAACTGCCATAGCCAGCTTTCAATTGAAATTCCTTTAAGGAAACATAAATACACAGATGAAATCTCTTTTTTTCCTTTATTAAAAAAAAGTAAAAATTCATTCTTAATCATTTTTTTTTCCTTTAGAATTAAAAGGCAGTGAGGCTGGCCTTGGTACAAAGTGCACAGATGCAATGCTGCAGAAAATGTGTCTTTGGCAGATGAGATTCTTCCTGTGAATGTTCTGTTTATTGCTACCATAAATATTCTATTGTCAAAACATGACTTGTTGTTTATTAACAGCACTGACAGGAAGATTCCTATTAATGGCAGCATTCTGATTGCCCACTGACTCTGTCACTTTTAACTTTGCAATTTTAAGAGAATTATACTTGGTAATTACTTAAGATATTTCTTAGTTTATTGATCCTCACTCCTGTTTAACTGAGTGAAATTTGAGTGGCAGTTCTTCTGCGCAGTGATTGACACTGGGAAGAATTGTCATATCTGCATCTTTTGTAGGCAGGAAAGGGCTTGCTACCTATCAGCCCTGATCTTGTTACCCCTCAGCCTGCTAGAAAGACACAGTGAGTGCCCACTGAGAGCAGTGCACTGAGAAAAATGCATAGATCCGGGCCCTGTCCTTAGAAAGGTTACAGTCCAGTCTGGGAGTGAGCCAAATACATATGCTTAATATGCAACTAGAATGGCCACTTTGAAGTTCAGAGGGACTTGGATCTAAATCTTACTAATTGTTTTTCTTTTGACAAGTTAATTTTTTGAGTTTATTTCCTCATCTGAAAAAAATAGAAGTGATATCACTTATCTCATGGAATTAAAAGAATTAACCTTTCAGGTAGTAAATGTTCCGTAAATGTTAAATCTCTGCATTGTCGTGTCTTCCTCCCTGATTTATAATTGGCAAAGACATTTTAACCATCTGATCCTTAAAACAGAGCCGTAGTGGTGCAGTGGTTAAGAGTTTAGCTGCTAACCAAAAAGTCGGCAGTTCTCATCCACCAGTCGCTCCTTGGAAATCCTAAGGGGCAGTTCTACTCTGTCCTGTAGGATCACTGTGAGTCGGAATCAACTCGATGGCAATGGGTTTTGGATCCTCACAACAATCCTCTGAGATAGCTTAGGCATGGATTTCTTCCTCATTTGTTAGAAAGGGAAACTAAGGCTCAGTGGGGCCAAGTACATTACTCAGACTCGTCCAGCTGATTGAATGGTATAGTCAAGCTTAGAACCCAGGTTTCCTAACTCATGTTCCAGTGTGTTTTCCATTCTTTCACACCTGCACCTTAGTGACTAGAATTTAAAATTAGACTTATCAGTGCCACTGTACAGAGGCATATACTGAGTTGTATATTTGGAGATGATGTGAAGGAAAGGAAAGCAGCCAGTATTTTCACTGGAACATGAATAGAGCCGTATAAGATTATTATAACCTGCAAGGAAGGCATGAGTATGTATGTAGATAATAGCCAGTAGATGCCCTAGCAACAGTAAAAAACACATGACTAGGTCAAAGTAAGAGAAGTGGGTGTTTGCATACTGAGTAGGTGTTCTTAAAGCCCTTCTTTAATGGCAGCATTTACCAGAAATGATTTAGTGGTGTGATCATGTTTATGACTTGTCAACTTTACTCTCATTCTGAACTAAACTCTTCAGGTGATGATGTGGTACAGTGGAAAGAACATGGTCTTTGCAGTCAAACTTCAGTTCAAATCACAGTACTATTAAGCCATAGCTGTGTCATCTTGGACACGCAACTTAATTTCTCTGGGCTTCTGGTTCCTTATGTATGGAATAGAAATAATTTTTAAACCGTATTTAACATGCAATAATGATTAGGCGATTTAATGTATGTAAAATGCCTTGCACATAGTAGGTGCTTGAGACGTATTTGCTCGTTTTAAGCCTGTCACAACGCTTAATGACCTGCAGTCTGCTATATCCTCCTGTATTCTGATCTTCTCCACCTAAAGCAGCATTTCCTTAGATTTCTACTATGGTTTCTTACAATTGAGTAATTTTCTCTTTCTTGATAGCCTATTATGGTTCTTTTATAATTATTTTATTATAAAGTAACTTGAAGTAAAAAGAAATTCTCAAGTTACACCCAAAATGTAAAAAGGGTCAGTTTTAATTTTCCACTATCAAGACTTTAATACTAAAGGAGTTCTTATCTTAATTATAAAATTCATTCTGCCTTTCCATAACTAGAATATGTATAAGATATGAAAAGTAATTGCACTGCTTAATAATGGATTAACAGAATGAAAGACATTTCTGTAGGTATATGCTTTAGAAATAGTATTTATTTTTCATAAACAGAAATTGATGCCATTATAGTTCAGTATTATTTTGATTTATTTCATATTGATAAGACCATTGTATTTCTCCAAATTCCTTAACTTCTATTACCTATATCCTTTTAAAAAAACTTGTGAAGATAGATGCTGTGAAATTCATGCTAAAAAACCACACGGTAAGTCTTATTTCCATAATTAATAACTAGAATTTTCCTGATAGTTCAGATAAAGCATTAGTAACTTTGGATGCTCTTTTGCTTTCATTAGAGCGAACACTTCCCCTTTCTTGGCATCAGTGAATGTTACAGTCTCACTGACTTCAGGTGCCGAACAACCTTCTACACAGCCCTCACTCGTCTTCTGATGGTAGATCTGGGTAAGGTTAAGACTTTAAGCTTAATTAATAAGGGATCAGCAGTATACTTGTGTGAATAAAGAAGTAGAATACTAGTGAGTACAACGTTTAATTTATTAGAATTTGCTGTCTTTGACAGTTTTCTACACCTTTCTGAGATTTGAACAATAACTTATTAGTATCACAGCCAAAAGAAAAATCTGTGCACTTAAGGCATTGGTGGGTGGAAACCCCAGGTTCTGCTCAGCACGACTTGGCTCAGCCAATAAACGAGAGACCAAGGTGGGAGAGTGGAAAGGCACCTTTATCTCCTTATGCAAGGAAAGGAAACTGTCGGGGCTGCCCCCGCCAAGACTGCTCAGCCAGAGCGATGGGGACGGTTACTTTCAAGGGGTTTACAAGTAGGAACTTCATACAAGTTACATCAGCAGCATTCTTAATCACACCAGGCAGGCACAGTGGGGTTTACATATAACTTCATGCATCGCGTGTTCAGAAAATGGCAGTTAAACTCCATCCAGAGGCAGGGAAGTTACTATGTATGAGGTCTAAAAGGTTATCCTGAATGTCAATGTGGCGCCTAAACTGGTTTCCACCAATTTCCTCTAGTATGGGGGCAGCAGTTAAGGAGAGGGGAACCAGGATTCTAAAGTAAAGCTACAGGGCATGCCAAGCAAGCTGCTTGAGGCAATGAAATTTTCTGCAGCCTGGGGACCTCTGTCTTAAAGGTGACATATTTTACTTAAATTAATACACTGATTCTTTACCTCAGAATTTCTATTAGAGGGAAAAATGTATCAAAAAAGACTGAAATTCTTCAAAAATGTTAAATGTTTGTCTTTGAGTAACGTTCCCATCCAACCAAAATGGCACAACTTATACGAACCCCAACCCCTTAGAGAAGAATAATGTGAACGTATAAGGATCATAAAGAGGATGTACCCATTTGCTCTGGTGATTTTTCCCCATTTTTTCTTTATTACTTTTATAGTGAGAAAAACAAGCTTATCTTTTTTTACTGAGAAACTGAAGTTAGCCGGAAGTATCTATCGGTACACAGTACCTCAGAATGGGCATTTAAGCCATTTTGTGGTGACTACATCATTCTGGGTTCCCATTCCCTACTCCCTGCCCCCTGAATTTGAATACTGCAACCTAAATTAATCAGTTACAGCCATGTGAGAGAGTTCATCAATGACAGTATCATCCTTAGAGAATATAATACTGATGATACTTTTTTCTTCCTTTCTCTTACAACGTATTGATTGATCCATCAACTTAAATATGAATTTTTTTAAAACATGATCATACAAAAGGAAAGAGGATAAATAACTTTATTTTGCCCATAAGATGCATTGAACCTTGGACTAGAAAGGTGACTAACCCCTCTCTGCTCCACACCTGTATTATCTTCATGGATTTAAACAGAATAAATTACCAGAAAGACGAACAGCCAAAAATGAGAAAGTGCAACTAGAATGATTAAGGAGCTTAGTGGGATTGATTTCTAAGGAAAGATTAAAAGAACCATGTATGTATAACTTGGCTAAGTGACAAGTAGGGCTGGAGGCAAAGAGAACTGTCTATAAATATTTGAAGAGTGTAAACCAGGCATGCAAAACCCAATCATCTGCTACCTTAGGCAAGTGGGAGATCTAACTGAGTGACAGTTTTGCATACTGCACACTGGCCTGTATTACTTCTTTGCTGCTGGCTTGGAAAGAAGAGGAGCAGCCTCAGACGCTTTGTCATTGTCCTTGACAATCATTTAGAGAGTGCAGTATGCTGAGCTCTGAGGGCAAGACAAAGATAAATCAGGTATACTGGCCCCTGCCCTCAAGGAGCTTGCCTTCTTGCTTTCCCAGATGTCCAAGCATTAAAGATCTTGAAAACCCTGTCTAGACTTAATATATTCTCCAAGCCCTAAAAATGCTCTTTAATGGCCCTGTCAGAGTGAAGGAAGTGGGGGAGAGGGGACCAAAGTTGCAGGAAATACCTGCGAGAGATTTCCTAGAAATAGGTTCCTGTCACTTACATCCTCAGGACCTGGAAATGGAACAGGTCAAGATTTCCTTTTTCATATAGTCATCACAGACAGAGGGACCCCCCCCCAATATATTTGTGGTAGCTTAAACAACAGGATAGCCCTTTCAGAGTCTGAACGCAGCCCAGACTCTGTATTTACAGCACTACTGCACTTGGTATTGCATTGATAATTAATAGTCATGATGATGCCCAGAAAGGCCCTGCATTGCACGCCTCCTTTTTTGAAGACACATTTACTTTTATTTAATATTGCTTAATGTAAATTGTGAGGCATGAAAACTGAAGTAAATATATATAATTTGAATAACTAATAGGATTTTATTAGGCTTCCTAGGATTAGATTCCTTTGAAATGTTTAACTTGTAACAATATAAAGTATAAATTGATTTATTTTTTAGTTCAAAGTAAAAAAATAAGGTAAATATCTGTTACGTTGCAAGCACTTTATTAGACACCTTGGGAGAAACAGACAGAGATAGACTGTGTGGAAGTGCATGGTGCACGGTAGGTGCTCAGTATAAGTAAATTGAATCTGGATGCAGATAAAATTGAAAACCATAGCAACTACCCTCATGGAACTTTTACATTGTTTGAAAAGAAACTCCTGTCTTGTTTATCAGTGGTTTCCTTTTTTAAAATAATTGCATGCATAGTATAAGCATCAAGCGATGATGTGTGGTATATATCACCAGAGCTTTTTCCCTTTGCTAAGAACCAGAGTAGCTCTCCTTCTCAAAATATGTTGAGCTCCTTCAGGGATGGGCTTTGTCTTTTTCATGTTTTTCTAGCACCAGGCTCAGTGTCTCAACATTGTAGGTGCTCAGTAAATACCTGTTGAATGAATGACAATCAAGTATACTGTTACCAAGATGTCATCATTGTGGCTCATGGAATCAGCTCTACCTGCCAGGTTTTCTCTGCAAGTAGCTTGATCATTGGCCTCTCCAAGACAAAACAAATCAAGTGGCTGATTGCTTTCACAAGTGATTAGCTATGCCTGGCCATTCTTGCAGTGGATTAGTCGCTTGTTCTCTCTGTTCAAAGCATGTTACTTTATAGACGATCATTTGTTGAGTGTTACTGAACACAGTTTCTATTATTTAAAGCCTTGTCTCGCAAACTAGGTTGACGGGAACGTTGCTGTCAGAATTGCTGTATATATGACTTTATAGTTTCCTATTGTGTGTTTACTGTCATGGAAACAAGGAAGAAGGAGATAGTACTGTTGTCAATAGAAGCACAGATCTATGTATTAAATAAAAGAAATAAAAATATTAGGTAATGAGAATCATTCTTAAAGAAAAATTTGAGGAGGGACTTTTATAACACTAATTTGGGAGGTGGATGTTAAGAATCAAATAGGAAAAAACACCTGACCAACCTGCCTGCAAAGCATTGGGTGTGATTGTTGGAGTGAAACATAAAGCATATTCTAATTGAATCCTGCAAAATAAATTGAATATGTTTTGTGGATAAGGCATGCCTATTGGAGTGATTAAAAAAGAGGAAAGAAATTGGGTGTCACATTAATTGGTATTTACTTTGAAATGTATTTTGGTTTCTAGTCAATAATTTGTACTTCATATGAATTTAATTAGATGCTATGTGCCCCAGGTTGTATTTCAGATGAAAATGGGGATTTTTTTTGGCAATGAACAGTGGTATCATTTTATCAAATTGCTCCTTGGCTAAACTAAACAAATGTTCACTTGTATAAAAAATAGAATTTCATCATCAGAATATTTTCCCTTTTCAAAATATATAGGAAACATTAGCAATGTATAGTCTACATTGTAAGAAATTGTGAAAATGAATGCAAAAAATCCCTTCACAAGATCACACACATGCAGGAGAAAATGGGTGACCGACCATATGTGCATGCATGTTAGCCCTTCCAAAAATCACTTAAAGTTCCCCAGGTTGTTTTTAAATTAACTTTGTCAAACTAATAAACTAAAGGAAAGATAGTATTACCCAAGCCAGTAAAACGAGAACCTCCTGGGAGTTTGTTTAGTATAAAATACTTGAATAAATAAAATCCTTCTTTTTTGTTTAATTTGAATGGAAGTGAATTCAGTTGACAAGCTGTTGGAGAAGGGAAACATGGATAAGATCGATAACAAAGCTTTTCATTTTGTGGAGAACCAAATATTACTACTTGCAAACTAAGTTTTTTACCACCCTCAAATTTAGAATTGTTCAGTGTCATTAACATTTGTTTTCCCTGGAACATTTTATGATTGCACCTTTTATTGAATGACTCAGATTAGAGGCATGTAGATAGGATTTGTGTGAACAGTGCTTTCCTCAGATATGAAAATTCTTTAAAAAGCAGTCATTTTTTAATGATCATGGGGATACTAATATTAAAATGGTGTTTATAGTTGTTAAGAGATATTCTGTCTTTAGAAGTGAGGGTAGCATAGTATCCATCTAACTTTGGCTTAGAGTAGGTAATCGGCACCTTAAGATAGATCTAGCTTAAATTTGAGAAATTTTAAATAACAAGGAAATGACTTGATTAAAAAAGGAAGAGTATTCCAGAAGTAGCTACTAAAGATAGAAATAGAAATAACAGAGGAAGGAAACTTGCAATTTCTTTATTAATAATAACTGACATTTGCTTACAAATTTATATTTTGCAAAGCTGTTTCACATACATTATTCTATTTAATCCTCACAACAGCCCCATGATATAGGTGTTATTCCATTGTTTGTTAGAAAACTGAGGTTCAGAGACTGTCCTTGCCCAAGGACAGTCATATAACTAGTAGCCCTCTGGCCACAACTTCTCTTTCACTTTTGTTAAGCAGTTACTTCACCTTTCACCTCAGTCAGTTAGGGATGTTTTTTGTTTTTTGTTTCATTTTTATTTGAACTGTTTGGACTGAATGATTGATTTGGGGTTTGGGAGCATTGAGAAGAAGGGATTGCTTTCCACGCTATTGTAAAATAGACTTATGTTTACTATTTGC